CTTTTGATTTGTGCATGTTTTTATTGTTCATGTTTCTAGGTGCTTGTGGAATATATTTCCCCATTTCGAACTTAGACTTCTATCTCTAGTTATCGAGGTTCGGACGCATCAGAATAGCTAGTTTATAGGTCTTTGGTTACAGAGTGTTTATTTCGTTCTCAAATTAGGTGAATTCATCATCGCTTCAAATAGACCATATAGACAGCTTGAAAAACATTTGATCAGTGACAAAAAAAATCATTTTTGACAACTCTAGACTTTGTGTTACAAGGGGATTATAGCGATAGAGCTATTAGCTTTTTCATCATGAATATGTATTCATGTTTTACTTACAAATTAATTCCCAACCGAAAAACATAAAATGTTTGTTTTTGTAAATTTGTATAAATTATTTGACCAATGGCGTATACAGCTACTGTCAGAGAGGTCCTACTCACTGCCTTCTTGAGGAATTACTAATTTTTACCAAATTGAGAGAATCAAAAGTGAATGTTCAGCTCTTTAACCCTGTTGGTGGATATGGATGATCCACAGAAGGCAGTTGGAAAACCCAGATTCAAAACTAATGATAAACATGGACTTCAGGATCCTGAGGGAATAAATAGCATATGAATCAATAGTTGGTCACTGGCTACCATGGGACTGCATCTCCTAAAGTTACGGCACTGTCTTGTAGGTTAAACCTTTAGATCAAAGGCTTGAGGTGTGGTTCCCTAAGAAAACCACCTGGTTCGATTTAGGCACCCGGACAGTATCACAGCTCATACACAAATCAAGTGATTTGTGTGGCGCATATGTATTCGGTTCTTCTTTGTACCAATATTCATGTGTTCAAATAAATAAATAAATAAAGACCAATGTGAAAGTCATACGAGTTTTTAGTTGGTATTTGAGACTTGTCACCTATATGTACCTGTATCTTTGTGTAAACATAAATACTGGTGGTTATCTATTAGATATACACTGAAAACCTGTGATAAAAGGTTATATTGAAGTAATCCTATGTAAATATAAATATGGCATCAGAGACTGATCAATTAGTTATTCAATACTTAGTCTGTTTAACTATTATTACTTTTTTGCTTAGCATTATTTTTTAGCGAGTTAGTTTTCTACGAGATGAGGGTCGCTAACCCCATGCCCAATTCTCCTCCTTTTTACCCGGGCTTGAAACCAGCAGTAACTTTAGAAAAGCTACAGGAGTCATGATAGTACAATACGACAACTTCGATTAACTCATATCTATTTCAGGCTTCACTGTAAGGATGATTAATATAATGGCAGACTCTCATATCAATTTGATACTTAATCAATTGATAAACAACCTATATACATTTATGATGACCTATTTTCATCATTTAGGCATTGTTACAATCATATATGTACACAATAGTACAGAAGTACACAAATGAAGTATATCGATTAATATTAATAGAAATAGATAAACAATATATACATCAAAATATTTGTGTTTAACGCCTATGACTAGTAATTTCCTTCAGACCTAGTTAGATAGACAGGTACAAAAGTATGTGTATATATATAACTGTATTAAATCAACAATTGATGCCTAGACTTACTTACTTAGTTACATGTATTCTAATGAAAGTAATGATACTTATAATGATCTGTATATTTTAGATAGTGTCAAGTATTCAAATAGGTGCCATATGTTTTATCCTAATGTGAACTCGTCAATTAAGTTTACCCCACTGTCTATTTGTTAATATAACTATTCTAAAATGTCAGTATTATACACATTAGACTGTTAATTTATGAGTGACCAACTGGATTTTATCAACAAAAGTTTGTGTTTTTCTATTGTTGATATTCAGCCTATGTTTGTATATCATCTTGTTCAGAAGGTGTTTCAGTATAGAATATCCCGAGCTCCCAATTTCGGGGAAGCCGCTATAGTAAACTTTGGGGAAATGGCACTAAAACACCAAAAGTTCCCCAGACCTAGGGAAATTCCCCAAAATTGCCCTTTAACCTTGGTGAAGGTCACCTGACTTTGGGAGTTTCCCCAAAATTTCCCCAAACATTGCTGAAGATCATTTGACTTTAGGAGTTTTACCAAACTTGGGAGATTAGGATGCCTTAATGTTTATAATCAACTAGACAAAAAACTTTGATGCTTAGATGTTTACTGTTAATTTTGGTAATCCTCTCATAGAGGTGTTGTTTCACTAAATGAATGCTTCGAAGACGTTTAAGATGGAATATCCTTTTTATCATAATCTGATCCTTTTTAAAGTACATAAAACTGTAGAAAAGTTCAATCAACTAGACATCAAGATATTTATGGTCATACTTGAGTACAACTAGTCATTGCCTAAACTGGATAATTTCCTGCTAGAAAAGTCTCAGAGAACTAAATAGTAATTTGATCCGTGAAATCTCAAAATTTTTACATGATAAGAGATCGCCTAAGCTAAACCTATTCCCTTCATCATACATAAAGACCTGAGGTAACCAGGTCACAATCTTTAGATCATTGTAATAATAAATTCGTAACTCTGCCCGGAGCACCTCTGCGGCTACTGCCGGTTCCAAGCCCGGATAAAGGAGGAGGGTTTGGTATGGGGTTAGTGACTCTATCCCGTAGAAAACTAACTCGCTAAAAAACGCTAACCAGAAAACATAATAAATTCGTATCAGACTTGTCTATATTCATTTTGTCTTCCAGAACAGCAATTTTATGAGGACATACGAGATATGTTCACAAATTCAGAACCAATTGCTTGTTATCTAACCATCTAGTTTCTCTTTGAATTGTTAATTAATGGAACGTTTTTCAGTACAACTCATTAAAAGAAGATGAAATCAACCAAGAGATCCACACTATCAGGACTAAAATAAACTTCCTACTCATATGTTCCTTCCAAAATGAAATTATAACCAAAGCTTCCCGTTTACTATGAGATCTGTTCAGTGAATACATGAACTGATTTGCTCAAGTGTTTTGGTTAAACTAGGGAAATCCACTTAGGATATTTATAATATGTCGAATTTTTTTTACAAAAATAACTCATTTAGAAAACGTCATTTTTTAAAGTGAACCAAGTGTCTTATAGAAGGCTGTGAAGGCTGCAAGAATGACCCAAGTCCAGGACGACTGTTAGTGTCGTTTGTAAGAAAAAAAACATTGAAAAAGTAAGGCTTCTTTTCCTTTTCAATAATAGATTCCTTATCCAGATTACTGATGATCAACTAAAACCAACAAAAACCCTGTAGGTTTCTCTTAACTGATCCCACCTTCTTTTTATTATTTCCCCTAAAGAAACGACAACAAAACTAAAGAACTTGATTTTTGACAACTTCTAATAGTTTCCTGAATAATCAAAACGAAGATGGAACAAAAGTGCCCCCAAATGCTCTAATACGACCGTAGGTGAGTAGAGTCATCTCTTTCTCTCTCGAAATGCTCTCACATGGCCACGTGCATACAACCACTGTCAGAGAAATTCCAATCACTACCTTCTCTCAACACGAGTGTTGTTTATGAAATTGTGAAGACGAAAGGCGAATCTCTAGCGCTATAACCAGGTCGGTGGATATAGACGATCCACCTAGGAAAGTTGGAAAACCCTGATTCCAAACCAATGATACACATGGTCTCCAGGATTCTGAAGGAACAAATAGTATATGAATCGATTGTTTGTCACTAGTTACCATGGGATTGTACTTTCAGGTCAACGACTCCAGATGTGACTCCCTGTGAGCATCCCATTCCACACATAAATCAAATGACTAGTATGGTTCATATCTATTTAATGCCTCCTTATACCAATATTTATATATTCAAATAAATAAATATTTCTTTGATGTTAGACCACCATTGAAAACCTGGAAGCACTGGACGGCCGTTTCGTCCCACAGTGGGGCTCCTCAGCAGTGCGCATCCACGATCCCGCTCGCGGGATTCAAACCCAGGGCCTTCAGTCTCGCGCGCGAACGCTTAACCTACTGGACCACTGAGCCGGCATTTAATGGTGTTAATGTCTAACCCCAACCAATCCACGAAGTTGTGCAACCATCTTCCATTGTACTGAGGTAGATACCTGTTTCTACCCGACACGGATTAGCTCCACTGATCACGGCTTCTCACCAGAACTTCGAGAATTTTCTCAAGAAGCTAGTTACTAGTGAGCACATGGTAATTATCAGCATAGGGGTTGTGGAGATTGTGAAATTTTGATTGAGATCATGAAGTAATAGGACAAAAGTCCTGAAGGAACAAATAGTATATGAATCAATTGTTGGTTATCGGTTATCATGAGATTAAATCTCTTAACCTTACTCTACTGTAATTCACTTGATATTGTTTTATTTGAATCTTCCCATTGATGTTTAGGACTGCACTTGATCAGTCTCTTATATTGGCATATGTGCGTACTGTGCGTATTGCCTCGATATTGCCTTAATTTACAAGCATTATAAAACAAAGATGGATAGTTGCTAGCAGTGGAATCCAGTTTAAGGCGCGTTTCGTCCTGTTTGGGACTCGTCAGCTGGATGTACCTGCATCTCAGAGTTGATGTTCACTCTGCGACTCGAACCCAGTACCATCCGCTTCAAACGCCATCGCGTTATCCACTTAGCTACTGAGTCCTGATAGCCGCTTGCTTGTGCAATGGGGTGAAGTTTAATTCACTTGATATTGTTTTGCTTGAATCTTGCCATTGATGTTTAGGACTGCACTTGATCAGTCTCTCATATTGGCATAAGTGCGTAGTGTGCGTATTGCCTTAATTTACAAGTATTATAAAACAAAGATGGATAGTGGCTAGCAGTGGAATCCAGTTTAAGGCGCGTTTCGTCCTATTTGGGACTTATCAGCTGGATGTACCTGCATTTCACTAGGAGACTCGAACCCAATACCGTCCGCTTCAAACTCCATCGTTTTATCCACTTACTCTATTGTTTTATAGATTAGATCATTTGATCAAACACTGTGAATATAATTTATACCATAGATTCTATTTTATTTCACTTACTTCATTTAATGTGAAATCATATTGTTTTTTAATCATTTCTTTTATTCTATTATTATGATTATTATCATGATAGATATCAATTTCATGTATAAATTCTAATTGTTGCCATGTAATTAAATCAATACCAGTAGAATTAATTAATTGTTTATATTGTTCATCATTATCATAATAATAGTTACTACCCAATGTATCATTAATTATTGAATGTATTTGTCTTTCATATCCTTGTATTTTATAAATTTGATATGTGAATTTATTATAGATATAACGTGTTAGTAATTGTCTTGTCTCTTTTAATTGTATTATATTGAATACATTCTCATTCCATATATCGATTGGATGATGTAATCGATGACAGAATTTCTTTTCTTTATCAATAATAATTACATTCTCTGTAATATTCTTCTTGTTCTTGTTCTTCTTCTTCTCCTGATGATGATGATCATCATCATTATCATCATCATTTGATAGAATTGCATATGTGACATAACATTTACCAGAACTATCTATTTCATAACCTGGTTCAAATGTATCATGTATATTAAATAAACTAATTAATCCTTTAAATAAATTTAATTGTATAGAATATAATTTCATTTTAGATTGAGGTATATAAATTCTATCAATCAATCCTTTATTATCAAATAATATTAAACCATATAAAGTAATGAATGGATCTACAAATTGATCTTTATCACTATGGTGATGATGATCATGATGATGATGATGATGAGGGTGATCAATATTCAATGTGATATACCATAATCTTTTATGAAATAATTCATTCATTGCATCATTCATTTCTTTAATGTTTATTGGTGTAATATAAACATAACCGGATATATTTTGTAAAATTATTTGTTTATATGAATTTTCTGTAATATTTGTTGTATAATGATACACATATGTTTTATTTGTTTTATATAAATGTAAAGAAAATAAAATAAAGAGAAGAATTGAATAAAATTGTGAAAATGCCATAGATACTAAAAGGAAAAAGATGGTTATCAATTTACAAACAAAAGTGCAAACATGGATATATATATGTATATATACGACACACGCTATTGGCTACTTTAATCTTGATTCTTATTGGCTAATATTATGATAGCCCAAATGATATAGCCAATCATAGCCCTAGTTCGCTCTCTCTCAAGGTTATTGGTGACTAAAGTTGTTCACAGGTAAACATATTGAATACAAAGCAATCATAATTAGGGATAACTTTTTTACAAACATATTGACTACACTACTACGCTACAGTACAGTACAGTACACTACACTACATTACATACAAAATCTGAAAAGTAAATAGATGGATATATAATTTAATAGTGATTAGCATTATATTCAATCAGTTAAAACAAAATAGGACATTGACTAAATAGGAATGAGGTTATGTTGTAACGGGAACTTAGTAAAATGAGGAAAAGAATTAACAAGATGTATAGCTAAACGGTAAAAGTTATGTTTCAATAGTTGAAATCATGAGTCAATTGAAGCTAGACCATCATGGAAAATCTGGAATCACTGGATAACCGTTTCTTCCTACTTTGGGACTCCTCAGCAGTGTTCATCTATAATCTCACCTCTCGAGATTCGAACACAGGATCTATCAATCTCATGGGCGAGTGCTTAACCACTAGAGCACTGATCCACGCCAATATCCAACGATGTTAATGTCTAACATCAACTAATCTATGAAATTCAGCAACACATCCATCATTGTCTTCAGTAAGTTTCTAACTCACAACTGATCCGGTTGAACTCCACTGGCCACTGCTTCTTACTGAAACTCCAAGATATACATATTATGTTAATGTCTGTGATAACAAAGAAATACTAACAGGGTAATTTATCTTAGGATAAGTTATGTATTTGGGCTAATTCAATGTATACCTATTTATTTCTTCACTTTCATAGAATGATTCATATCGAATTGAAAAATCCTCCATTTTACAAATCTTTAATCGTACACCATTATACATAAAAATCAATATTATTCGGTTAACAGCTTCATTCGTGAAACATCTAACCAAATTTAGTCACGTGAAGCACTGGACGGCTGTTTCGCCCTATCGTGGGACTCCCCAACAGTGTGTATCCACGATCCCGCCCGCGGGATTCGAACTCAGGGTTTTCAGTCTATTCATCGTTTCCACCTCAGTTGGAAGTTGGTTTGTTCTCTCCCACAGTAGACTGTTTCTGATAGTATCCAGTCATAGGACATTAGGCATCTTGTGTAGACAATTGTTTAGAAATACTTGTATATTTTTGATGATAGTTGCGGTAGTTCTCCAAGTTTCACCTCCGTACACTAGGACTTTCTTGATGTGCGTATTGATGATTGTGATTTTGATTGACAGTTGTTTTGAGTTCCATATATTCTTCAATTGAAGAAACGCGGTCCTTACTTTGCCAATCCTTGCTTTCAAGTCTTCATCACACCACTATCGTACCAGAGAGCGTTTCCAAAATAGCGTTGCTTAACCAGATGAAAGATTCGGTAGACGCACAATTTTGAGATCAACAGGTCGGAGTTTGTAAGCATCGGTCACTTACAGACCGAATTGCCGTACTACGGATCATCGTTGAACAATTAAACGAATGGAGCTCGTCACTATACACCAACTTCATTGAATATGAGAGGACATTTGACAGTGCGAATAGGAGGACCTTATGGAAACTGGTGTAGTAGCAGCCTCTACATCAGTAGGATTCAACATACACAAAGGAAAAAGCAACATCCTTAAATAAAACACAGAGAACACCAACTCAATCACACTTGATGGAGAAGCTGTAAAAGAGATGTAAAATTTCACTTGCCTGAGTACCATCATCGACGAAGAAGGAGGATACGCAGACCAGCTCCCAACTGAAGAAGAAATTAGGAAAAGACGTTAGAAGTGGATAGGACATATATTACGGAAATCACTAAACTGCATCATGAGGCAAGCCCTAACTTGGAATCCTGAGGGGAAAAGGAAAAGAGGAAGACAAAAGAACACAATACATCGGGAAATAGAAGTAGATATGAAAAGGATGAATAGTAACTGGTAAGCATTGTCCATGACAGAGTTGGATGGAGGGGACTGGTGGTCAGTCTATGTTCCTCCACGAGGGGTATGAGGCGTAAGTAAGAAAGCAATTTATAGGGAAATAGAATGTTTTAAGCCTTGTATTTTTAACAAAGTCTGAAAAATCACTTCACTATCGTAAAAACATTTTATCAAGTCTCATTCAAACTAACAACTTACTATTGCATCTTTGTTTAAAGAACAGACTAACTTGACAGACAATTTCGATGTTCACCTTCTCTTGTATAGCTAAGTACAGAAGTCTTTCATCCAAGAAAAGTTCCTTACTAGCTGTGAACCTCTTTCGAGCTTAGCTTGATGATAAACAAAGAGCTATCTAAGCAACTATTTAGAAGCATTTATATGACTATGTCCATGTAAAATCATACTCATCATACTACATTATCAATAAGATGACAAAGAAATTTACATTAATGCTACTGAATAACGTTAGACTGATTGTGGTTTAAATTTTACATTCTCATCCACCCACCCACCCATAAACTAAGGGAAAATTTTCGCACATTTTCTCTTGTACTCCTCGAACCTGTTGTTCAGTAGTATTGATAGTTCTAAAAAGAATCTTACTGGCTATTATTGGTTTAATATCTGTATTATAAAACCAATAATTTGTATGATGACGAACATTTTGATAACAATGAGCTCCAGTAACCACCATGTTACCACCTCAAATTCAAGTTCGAACAAGGTTACAATCACAGGATTTAATTTCTGAGCATACTATTTCTATTAATGTTCCCATTACTGGAAGCTCTCAATAATATGATGATAGAATTAGAGCAGGCAACACTTTACTGTTCGTTATTTCTAGTTCAAATGAAGTCGGAAACCGTACCTTAAGTTTTTGTTTAGTGGAACTGGTCATACTGATAACAGGAGAAATCCCTATCGTCCCCAAAGAAGGAGGTAAGTGTAACAACTTTATAAGTCTGTTTCACCCAGTGCTTCATCAAAATGCATTTATCCAGCATTTATATTTTTCAAGGAGATCGATAGATACTAGACTGTTAATCTTTGGAATATTAGCCATAAATTTGAATGCAACTCTTTGGCTTATCATAATTGTTTATGGATGTCGAAGTCAGCTTAACTGAAGTTCGATTACCTCATGCCAGTTATTAATTATCCAAAGCAATTTAGATTTACTTTTCATTATCTAAGTGGTATTACTTTATGTATTTACTATTACGAAACTACAACAAAACGTTGGTCTTTGACTCTGAAGCTGGGTAACACGGAATCGAATCCGTCAGGGAGCATCAGTTCCCTCAAGATTACAGATACATCTTGCTGACGTGTGTCAAATAGCACGAAACCCGGGTCCAGGGTTTCCTGTCGACTACCTCCAACCATCATCTAATATAACAAAAGGTTGGTCATGAATATTTCCTTCCATTTAAACACATATGTAGTGAATCAAACTGTTTAAGATAGTTCAGCGTTAATTATATAGTAACAAAGAAGGGAACATTTAAATATTGCATCTTGGTTCTGATTATTGCCAATACAATGCAAATCAATTTTTGTAAGAAAATCGGGCTATTAATTCTACATTTTAATAGCTGTTGTCCATTCGCATTTATTGCATAATTTATTATTCCTTACTACAAAAGATCAATCAATCATCTACAACGTAGGACCAGGCAAGTATATGCATCGACCCGAGTTGCCATACCGCATTAGCACAACAAGATGAACACCGGATTCATAGAAGTAGTTAATTCAGTGGTGGTAATATGTAGAAGAAAGATTGCATATAAGGAGATAGTACAGGAAGAAAGAATTAGTTCCTAGAAATAAAGATATGAAGCGATTTTAATCTCTTAGTTTAAAGGAAGACAGAGAGTGTATACACCGACGTCATTGTGATCGATTCTGAGCCATGTCATCCACAGTCTCCAACCATTGGTTATGATGGTCACACGGACCCCAACCAAGTAGTCTGCATCTACCAACATGGCTCAGACTAGAAGTTAGTGACTTCAAGCACTGATGCCACGTTTTGGTTTGGCCGCCCTTAACTTTCTTCCAACCATCCCCAACGCTCGTCAGCATTGAGCGTCGTGATAATCAGTGTTCAGGCATACGTAACACGTGGCTTAATCATCTTTGTCGATGAAGACTCAAAAGTATCTAAATATTCTATTCATGATATTTTTCAATTTATTGATCTTCTTCAGGACGTTAATTCTTCCGGAAAACACATGTTCTCGCTTGATATTAACTCTTTGTGTCACTAGTGTACTTTTAACCGAAACGATATGTTATATATGTGAGTATATTGATTCTAACAACATAGATCTAGATTTACCGATTGAACACTTAAAAGAACTATTGTTACGCTGTACTTTTAATGTCGATTTCAGTTTCAACGATGAAATATATAGACAAAGGGATGGGATCTCCATTGGGTCCAATTTTATCAGACTATTTCATGGCAAAACTAGAAAACGACCAACTCAGTTCAATGACCAAACCATTGGATGCAAGTTGGACAACAACGACTAGCTTCAGGGGAGCTGCTGTTATACTCCGGACATGAACAAGAAAATGCCCCACATACACAAGGAGTTGCATTGATGCTGTCCAAACAAGCACAAAATGCACTTATAGGATGGGAATCTCATGGACCAAGGATCATCAAAGCCTCCTTCAAAACAAAGAAAACGGGCATTTCAATGAACGTCATCCAATGCCATGTGCCTACTAACGACTACAATGAAGACGCTAAAGATCAATTCTACGATAGGCTGCAGTCAATCGTCGAGAAGTGTCCAACAAAGGACCTGACTATTCTGATGGGAAATTTAAATTCCAAGGTTGGAATTGACAACACCGAGTATGAAGACATCATGGGACGACACGGATTGGGAGAAAGGAACG